CGAGTCTCTTCAATTGAGTGAGAAAGTCACAAACCCATTCTTTGCCCAGCGAGCGTATCCACAGACCACTCATGAATTGCTTCCTTGGCGCGGAAATCAGTGAAATCGTATTGATTAAACACAGTTAGAGCGAGTTCCTTTAGACCTCCCGAACTCGTATCGCGTTGGCAACAATTATAAGTACAGGAAGAACTCTTAAAATCTGCTAGATAAATTTGTTTCATACTTTCTGAGAAGTTAAAGAAATTCGGGAGCTTTCCTACAAAGAAACTAAAATGGTAGGTAACCGAGTTAGTTTTTCAGATAATTTACAATAACTGAAAATTTGAGTGTCTGTTTGTGGACCTTACGTCTTGCCCAACAATATAATTGCAAAGATGTTTACAGTTTGCCCATACGATTAAGCTCTTTTCTTGCAACCTGTCATCGTTTCACAAACATCACGGAAACGGAAAACCTTTCCGAGCCTCCGTAAACACCGTTGTTGTCCAACCACACCTGTATTGTTTTTAACAGAGAACACTTGCGTCCCATGTATTTGCCCAGTGGTTATTATGATGACATTCAAGCCACACCTCATAAACTTCGTGATCCCTCGTGGACCCCCGGTCAGAGGTTAGGGGAGAAAGTTTGCTCCAAATCTCAACACGAAACATACTTATAAAGAATTGTAGAGGGTAACTGAAATGAAATAGAAAAGGCGTCCGGCATAGTAGTCTTTCAAATTTCTTTTTAGCCAACAGGGAGTCGTGCAGAGGCATGGGGCGAAAGCAACCAAAAATTAGGAGCAGACCGAGGGGAGGAGCTTATTTAGCCGGCCTTTTCCATGTCCTTGTATACACAAGCGTGGTACACCAAACATTCGGTTTACTTATAAAACTCTTTGTCGTTCTCGTATGAAAACAAATGGACAATAAATTTGAAAATGAAAACGGAATAGGATTATAGAGGCAAGACCGATACAAAGTAGATAACTTTTGAGACGGAGCACTATGTTTCGGCTGGCCAAACTAGCCTTCTTCAGGTGCCTGAAGAAGGCAGAAGTTCTTCTGGTGCCTGAAGACGTTGTATCGGTCTTGCGTCTATATTTATATTCGTTACTTTGGGCCGATTAGATCATGGCTGATCAAACGTACAAGAGTAGGGTTATCGCTCACGGTTCCTTGCTGAACATTTAAAAGAATAGGGTTTAGTGATAAAAGGTCAGTTTGATTAAAGGTATGAGCTGAGACTAACATGGTTCACTTAACAATTTTATGTCGAGCTTTTAAGTGGGAAACACTAAAAATTGTACATTGCTAGTTTTATTAACGCCATACGTAAATGACATTGGTTACTGTTGCGGAAAATCATATTTTAGAGTCAGCTTTGTATATAAAGCAATGATTTTGCATGCATTCTTGGGAACAGCAGAAATGACTTAGAAAAAAGTAAGATACATGTCACAAGT